AATTACTTTTTATACATCATTTCATAATAGCAAGTTCCATTTTGTGAACAATGCATTATTTTCTTTTTAAAAAGTCAGGATGAATCTAATGTTTTTTTTTATGTTTATCGTGAATATAAGCTTAAAATTCTTGTGACAGTCTTATGTATATAAAAAAAATTAAATTAATGTTGAAAGTCTAGGGCAGCCAGAAGAATAATTTTGGTTTTGTTCCAGAGATTGGAAATTTCGGCATCCAGTAAGCCGCAAAATGCTATCCATTAGAACAGCCAAAGTTGGAAAAGTGGCTTTGTTCTCAAGGGAAATGATGTATACAATTGTTGTGACAAACGTCCTATCACTTCTCTTAGGTGCAGGATTCGGGTAAGCTCAATTCATCTTGTATTTAAATTTCTTTCTAGTACCTTAATTTTTAAATTAATAATTATTTTTATCGATAACACCAGTAGTTCTTTTACTAATTTCTCTAAACGTAAATAACTGCATTTTAATGCAGTTGATAAAAATAAGTAGAAAGTGTACTATATTTGTATATTTACATTTTGAAAAATATAAACAATCCTTATCACTTCTCTTTTTATTTTTTGCAGAGTTTGGCTTAGCCGGAGAGGAATCATGCTTTCACCGATCAACTTGGACTGAAGATAACCTAACACGGACGCCTCTTCATCAAGAAGAGCAATGCCAGGATGTACTTTATCTTCGAGCCCCTCCAGAGAATATTCCTCAAGCTGTTATTTCCTCTCTAATTCCTCATAAATTCTAGAACCATCCCCAGATTTATATTTTGATCAGATCAGTTTTTATAATTTATTATTACTGAAAGAAGTTTATGTATGTAAGCATTTCTTTTTGTATGAGTTTTTATTATATTAATATTTTGATATATTTTAATCTGGATATATATGTATTTATATATTCTATTATATAGGTTTTAGAAACCGATTTGCTTTTTTTAACAATATTATTATTATTATTTTGTTGAAAGATTACTACTGCTATTCATCCATCAATATATCGTATATTTACCTTTATTAATAAGAAAAGAATGTTATTTATTAATATGCAAACATCTTATTAGCATAGGTAATTGTTCTCTATTTCTTATTAAACGTATGAGTGAGGTAAGACTGGATAATGTAGAATTCTGTTGGGCACAAAATTAAAAACTATTAGTCTTATTTTCATTTTTTTTTTTTTTTTTATGATATATAACAAGAGATAAGCAGTTGTGTTTTGGTTGTTTATAATAAATTTATCAAATTATCAATAACTTATGAATGTGATTTAACTAGCATCTAGTTTTAGAGAAATCATAAGGGATAATTTAAAAGAAAAAAAAAAGAGATGTGAGAGCTTGGATTTGTACAGTTTATATATTGAGAAGAATTTGTATTGATTTGGTTATAATAAATATTTATATGTTCTGTTGTTGTTTCTTCTAACACATAAATTAACATATAAAATAAAATTAATTCAATGAATACCCTCTCTCTTTTCCTAATTATACACCAAAAATAAGTAATCGATTTCAAAGTTTAGCATACAAAACTTAATTATGATAAAATAAATTTCCTTGCAAATATTTAGACTAAAGCCTTCTCAGAATAACATAAGTATGCCCTGTTCATTGAACTACACATAAGTAGGTAAATAATTTGAAAGGCAGCGGGTATTGAAGGGAAATTGATAAAGATTGACACTTTGGATCACATTCAATCAAAATTATCTTGCTTCAACAAGCCCATTATCCAACCCAGCCAGGCCTATCAAATCCAGCTTAAGAAATTAGCAAACTTTTAGAACAAACATCAATATCTTGCTCTTATTGTAGCAACAAAACCAAATAGAGATTACTTTTCTGGATCTTAGTAGCACTTTGATTTGACGTCCAAGGTGTCAAAAAAAAGGGGGAGAATTCCACAGAGAAGTGACATATCACAATTTCAATCCTTACATTTTTACCACAACTCTAATAAAATTTGTCGAAAAATGTAATTGGTTCTAAAATTTCTATGGCGGAAAGTTGGTGATTCTAGAGATGATAAGTCGTGTTTTAATGATTGTGAACATGGAGAGTCAGTACAGAACAAAGTGATAATGCATGAGGCCACCATAATTCTAGCAAAATCCTCTTTGATACCACCTTTGCCATGGGATACTTATCACATATTGTTTAGGTTCTTTAAAATTAAAATATTACTATTAATTATATTCTATAGTAAACTAAAAATCTACTCAAAAGATAAACAAAGAAGAATAGCCCTGAAATACTTGGGGTATCTTCAATAATATAGAAAGTTTTGTGGAGTATTTAAGTTTTCTTAGTTTTTGATTTATATTTTGCATTTGATAAGTGGGAGAACTGCAACTTGAGGATCCTTTTGTCACTACTCTGCTGCAACCAATTCAGTAGGTTTCAGTGAGTTTATAATACTTCAATATTATTAGTGTATTAATTAGTATTAAAATATTTTTTAAGTTTGAAAAAAATATTTAAAATCTACTTAATCAAGGCAACGACATTGTTAAAAAAACTATTTCATTGTACTTATGTGAAAGAAGAAGTGAAATATAAAAACATTTTATGGATGTATAAAGCATATGTTTATAATCTTAAATACATTTACTGTAGTTTAGTGATTTTAGATCTAATATTATATTTAAATAATTGGGTATCAACGCCTGTTTATTCCAGAAAATCTTAATTTTTAAAAATTAAATTAGTGAATAATTTGATGAATTTTCACTTTGTGATATCCCAATAGTATCATCAGTATCACATTTACAATTAGTGTGACAACTTTTGACATGGCTATGACAGACAATGCAAATCTCGTAATTCCATCTTAATAAACTTTGCAATGGAAAATAACAGTTTAATAACTAATAGTCGTACAATCGATAATCAACGGATTGTACAATCCATAATCAACCAATTCCAAATAAACAGGATTTTTGTTAATTTAATGGTATTTATTATTATTAATAGTATTTATTTGTAAGCTTTAAGCTTTATGGCTAACAATGCAAGTCAAGAATTTGTTAATAGCCCAATATGGCCAGAAAATAATTTCTATTCAAAGTTAAGCTGTAAGTGAAAGTTGTGGGTTGTGCACACCAGAGTTTTTTATAATATTGAAATCTGCGAAAATGATGAAAATACAGAAACCGCGATAATGGCAAAATTTAAAGAAATGTTAAACTCCTGAATTATTCTAACTTTTTATTATGGTGAAAATGTATAATTATAGAAAAGAAACATCTTATTTATATTGCCACAAAAAGGAGTTAAAAAAAAAATCCTTTTTTTTTTGGAAAATTCTATTACATTTCCTGGTTTTAGAAATTCCCGTACAATGCTCGGTTTTCGGGATTTCCCCAGGAGCTGGACACTCTGTTCATGTATGAGCGTAGTAATTACAGAGCCATAAGACTCCTTTCAGTTGCCTATAAGACAATGAATGACCAATATACTACTAAACCGGGTAGATCCGTATTATAAAATATAATAGGCGACCACCAAGCTGCATTCAGATAAGTAAAGAGCACTCTACTAGACCAGATCTTCATTCTAAAACAAGTACTTGAAAAACAATGAGAAGTAGCTCATAATGTCCATGCCTTATTTGTCGACTTTAACACAGTCTATGACTCCATGGAAAGAAACTGTCTTTGAAAAACCAGGACTGAACTAGGAGTTCCTGGGAAGTTGGTGAGTTTAATGAAGGCATCTACAAATGATAAGAGAAGCAGAACAAATCAGCCTACAAAGAAATTAATGTAATACAAAATATATGATAATAAGCTGGAAATCTCACGTCAATAACGGGATCTGCGTAGTAGGGAAATCATCCCAAGAGTAGACAAAGTAAAATACCTCGGATCCACAATAACTCTATGAATGACCACCAGTCAATAATAGCCCAGCGTATAATAAGCACAGAGTCTTCTCTCTTTCAAAAGACAGCAATATTTGATGTGTGGTAACTAATAGGTACAGATGAGAAATTTTTGAAAATCCATATTTAAAAAAAAGATCAAGGTTTTTATGGTTGTTTTTACACTGTGGTGGGCGGGGTGGCCGAATGGGCTAAAGCGTGTGAACAGCACCGCCGTTGCCCGGCAACCTGACATATGAATCTTAAGATATAAAAATAGTCACGAGTTCGCGTCCCGGTGCCGAGGGAGTCTTTTAAATCCCCACCCACACTCCCTGGCCTGGGAAAACACCGTATAGCCTTAACGGCGAGGAAGGGGAGGACCCCAAAAAAAAAAAAAAAAAAGTTAAGTTTTTACAGCATGTATGCTAGTATGAAGTATAGAAAAAAAACTTTTAATAAAAAAATAAATTCAAATTGGCCACCAAGAAAAAGTGTTAGCCTTACAAATTTTTAACTATAATTTCGAACTCTCCATTCAATAGGAAATAACTGGTAACAAATATTACAGAAACAAAAAATTAAGCGATAATGCGTCATTTAAAATGAATTGATCCACATTTATTTAGATTGGACAAAGGTAATTTTTTTTTTACTTCTAAATTGGCAAATTTGCTATTCTGCATATAAATATTGTATTTCTTGACCAATAAACCAAATTGAACAAAGCCATACAGACATTCAAATGATCTGCATCCACATCCTCAGCTGAAAAAGACAAGAAGAGTTTAAAATACTAAATCTATGCCGATAGGCCACCAGGTGTAGTAACGTCACTACACTGGCTCTAGAAAAACTATCATCAATTGGAATAATTTATGGCGAAACATAATACAGACCTTTTCATCTGAATCAATATAATAGAAGGATGATAAAATAGGAGTATTTTAACTAGAGTAACTGAGTATTTTAGCTAGAAAACAACCAGTTAATTAAATTAGCAATTTTAGTAAATCCAATAGCATTTTACAGCTTTTTATCAACATATAATTAACTTCCAAAGAATTGAATCAAGAGTATTTGAGAAAAAGGAATATTTTTAATAAATTACATTTATATAAATTTACAAATTTATTTTAATTACAATATATTATTTACATGTATGAACTATATACAATTTTTATATAAAACACTTTAATTACAGTAACCAATATAATTGGCAATTAAATTTCATTGAAAATTATTAGAATGATAATATGAACTCATTAGTAAATATTTTTAGGATCCATAGTGAACTGATTATAAGAAGTTTGCCATGGGATCCTCATCCCTCTTCTTCTTCATATAATATGCTTCCATTTCCACGTCAGTAGGTTTCTGTACTTCGAACATGCTGTTGTATGGCCTCTTGCGGTCATCCATTTTTGAAAGTCTTTCGCCTTCTTTCTGAGCTTCTTCCTCCTTTTTCAAGGCCTATTGAACAGGTTTAATAAGAGGTTAGTTTGATACAAAATATGAAATAAAATAAAATGGAGAAAACATAGATAATGTTTTAATGAAAAGATAAAACCCAAAATATGTTTATCTTGATCTAATTGTTTTTAACAAAACAATATTCTAAGTGTTTTATGTTTATCTAATTGAAATTTTAAATTAAATTATCAGACTTTTTTTTAATATCATTACTGTAATTATAAGTAGTTTTAATTCACTGATTGAGAATCATTGTGACTCACGACCAGTTAGATTTCTTGATTACCTATAAATTACTGGTATTACTTATTTTAGTCATTACATAATAGCTTTAGGTATATTAAAGCAGTAAAAATAAAGAAAACTCTAAGGGGGTGCTTTTCAGTGGAGATTAGAAAAATGATGGAGGGATCTAAATCACTGACTTGTTAGAAATGAAAAGGCTTGCTCTATAGTGAATTATTGTACAATTACTGAGCTATCAAACTGATAATACAGAGCAAATTGAATAGAAAATAAAAAAAATAAGGATAATATATAAATATAAATGAAATCAATTTAAGTTAATCAAGCAAACTACGATTAATGAAAAGTTAATGCTAGAGATATTTCATTAAAATGGTGTGTTTAATGAAAAGCAACTATTAGGATAGCGATCTAAATAAATAATCATTCATAAGTATATTTATATCATAATAGGGACTCAGAAGTCAATAATCTCAATTAAAAAAAAAATCTGATCTGTTCTCATAACACCAAATAGGTCCTACTGTTCAAAGAGAGGTCATTGTAATATTTTATTTTTCTCTCTTCCTCACCTTTTCGGCTACACTGGGTTTTTCCCAGGCTAGGGGATAGGGTGGGGGATACATGTCAGAGTTAAAAATTCCTTCAGCATTTACTGGGATTCGAAATCGTAATTTTTGGTATATGAGGTTGCCGAACAGCACATCTTTTATATATGCATTAGTCCTGTATTTGTAAGTTAGCAACACTACTACTCAGGATTTTTTTAGCACTATGTAAGCAAGTCGAATTAATGTTCGACCATCAGGTTTCTTCCCTCCTCCTCCCTCCCAACTGACTGCCAGATTATGTATCTATTTCGAAGAATCTGTACCTGAGTAAGGAGGGTATATAAGTTGATTAAGGCCTATTTGAAACTGATGCTAGATAATAATATTTTGTTATCAGCTTGACTCTAATTCAGCCATTCTAACCCTTTATTTGCCAATATTTCAAGTCAACTCCAATAAAAGTATAAATGCATTAGATGAGACTAAAAACATTATTCAAGATTTTTTTCCACCATAACTATCAATTCAACGAATTTTTATGAAATAATGAATGATGAACAATTAAAAATAAAATAAATGTTGACTTACTTCCTGAAGTTTTTCTTCTTCAGTCTTTTCTTCAGGTTTCTTATTTTTGATTTTGTTCTTAAGTTTCTTTACTTTTTGCTTCTTCTTCTTCGCTTTCTTCTTTTCTTGTTTCTTCTTCATCCTTTCTTTCTCTTCTTCATCCTTAAATAAAAACAATCATTCAAGTTAACCAGTAGTAAACAATGTAAAAATTACCTAACAAAATAATGATAAAAAATTCAAAGATTTGTTTGTATTATGTATAGTAATTAAGTAACTATCCTAACCTCTGATGATGACGACGACGATGAAGAATCGGAAGACGTAGAAGAGGAGGAGGCAGATGGTGTAGACGGATGTGGAGGAATAAATGCCGGGCCCTTGACAGCTACCTCTCCAGCAGATGCCGCTAGTCTACCAGCTTCACCAGTGCAATAAGACCCCTATTAAACAAATATATGCTCCTTACAATAATGTTTAACTATCCTGCTATAAACTTATACAAACAGCATTACTATCATCAAAAGAAGACGGTTGAGTTAAATAAAAATAATAGTAACAACCGTTTATGTTTAAAAACATATCAACATGAAAATTTAAAAAAAATAGAAGATACAAAAAAAATGTTTTTAAGCTGTTTCAACCACTAGCTCTAAAATATAATTACACATTTTCAAAACTTTTTAAAGAGATAAATAAATAATAAATACCTTAATAAAAGAATGACAGCACTTATATCCCCATTTTCCTGAATGCCAAAATGATCCCCATACAGTTGTATGATTATTTATAAGCACATCTTCCTCATACCTGGACCTCACCACTTCTTTTTCTTGTCCCTTAAAAAAAAAAAAAAAATATATATATATATATATATATATATATATATATATATAATATTATATATATATATCTAATTATTATATATAATATAATATAATTATTCAATCAAATGGTTCAACCACAATAAAATTTGCAATGAGTAAAAACGGATATTATAGGGTAGCTAATTCTAATTACTTAATTGTTTTTCACTAATTTTTTTTGAGCGATTAGGAATGAATGGAATCCAACATTCTCGTGAAAGTAACTAAATAGAGCCTTGAATAAGATTTATTTAAGTAATATAAGTGATGGAAAATAAAGAAAATAAATGTATCCAATAGCATCCCTGTAGAGTAATATTTATATACTAGTAGGCCCGACCAAAAAATTTGCACACCATATTGTTAAGAGATCAAATGCCAAATTAATAAGAAAATTAAAATAATGCAACGTATCATAAGATAAAGAAATCAATTGTTACCTTGCTGACAAATATAATCGACAGAGGAAACAAAAATTAATTTAAAACTTCATTAATGTTTGGAACCAACAATTTTTACAAATTTCAGTAAGCTGTATCTTTCCTAAAAATTATCCGATTTCTATGATTTTTTTTTTCCTTTTGTAGGGAAGTTTCTTTTCTTTCATAACTTGTTTGCCTGAATTTTCGGGGTGATTGGACATTTATGCCTGCCTGAAGGAGAAGGAAGCCTTCAAAATTGGTGGCTCAATCTTGGGATTTGGTGAAGAATAAACGAAGATGTGGCTTGTCGATCAAAAACTCCTCCTCTCTCGATCATTGGAGCCTCAAGTCGAAGAAATGAGACATGTATTCAATGACAGTACTACAATTAACGTAAGGTTGTGTGGATGCAAACCCTATGCCTTGCGTTATCTCGAAAATAGTATGTTTTGGGCTTAAAAACTAAGGAACTATCCAGGTCTTGTACAGATCAAAATCTTCAAAACACAATTTGTAACGTATCGATTTACAGACTTACCACCGTTCCAGTATTCAAGCCTAGCAAAATGTTTGTATCAACTTTATATATTTTAGAAAGAAAAATAAAAGTGGAGAATACGATTCGCTAATCTCCCGTGAAATTCTGAATCCAACGATACCTCATTCATGGTATTTGAGCATAACAGGAGCTTATATTTGATACAAAACTGATTTCGAGCCTTACTGTAATAATATATGTGAGGATTACTCAGATGATAGAAGCACTTCAACTTCTACTACAGTAAGCCACTCTAAGAAGACAAAGTTATGAGATTTCGGACACCTAGCATATTAAAAGTATCCATAAGTAAACAGTGCACCAAAAGGCCTGTAGGTCTAGTATCATAGACGCAGACTTTCCATTCTGGTAAGGGTGAGGGAGGGGATGGATCCAACAAAAAAAATCTCAGGAATTTATATTACGTACAAAAATTAGCATATTTTAAAACAAAGAATATATTATATATAAAAATAAAATGATATATATGGTAAGTTTTTCTTTTTTTTTTTTTTGTGTATGGTTGTATTTGAAAATATGTCAACGAACCAACTGAGTATGTTACATAGCTTTATTTGTATTTAAAGTTTTGAGTCAGTGAGATGAACTCATCGCTTTATATTTGTTGCCGGAAACGTAATAAAATCTTCACCTAAAATTGGAAGAGTGTTCATGAACTAATCAAAAAATCCTAAGATATGTTGCTACAGTATCTTTGAATATTAACTAAAATTTCTATAATAGGAACATGAGCTGTGGTAAAATACTTACTTACATAATTCTTGGCCTTAGCTTAGCCATCTTGTCGACTTTTCCAATTATCTTAATTTACATAATTTGTAATAATAATCTAAGTTTACATAATTTATTCATTCATATAGATTAACTGTTATTGATTTTGATTTTATTTTTGTTCATCGAAATATTGTGGGAGAAGGGGGCGCGAAACGATATTCTCGGTCCCTCTGAATTTTTAATGGGGAGAGAGAGAAGCACACACCAACTTACTATTATTATTCCAAAATTTTTGAATATATTGATTCAATTCAATAAACCCCATTTATGTATGTATATTTTGGAAAATACCAAACTATACATTCTAAGAGAGTGAAATTGGACATGACTGAAAATTAATATTTATTTAATAAATAAGAGTATTCTTTCATTAGATTGTGTGAAAATATTTCCATTCACTTCTGTAAAATTAAACATATTCATTTTAATAAACAGGAATACAGCCGTATTCGCTTTTACAATCGTGAATACGGCTGTATTTATATTTACAGCTGTGAATACGTATCATCTGTATTCTTTTTATGTATATAAATATATTCATATTTACATTCATAAGTGCTATAAATATGAATATAAATATATTCATAAGTGGCATAAATATAAATGGTATTCACATTTATATTTTTGAATATAAATATGACAATCTGATGTTGACCATGCCTCACAAACATGGACAATGACAAAGGCTGATGAGAATAGCCTTCTTATATAAAAACGGAAAATTTTGTGACAAATATACGGCCCTGTGAAAGGAGAAGTTTGGAGGAGACGAAGAAACCGGGAATTATACCCTCTGTATAATGACTTAAAGCTCGTCGGCTTCATAAAACTTGGAAGGTTAAGTTAGGCTGGCCATGTGATTCAGATGGAGGAGGGTGATATTCCTAAAAGAGTTCTTGAGGATAGGATTGACAGCACCAGGAAGAGAGGCAGACCCAAGTTAAGATGGATGGATAGCGTGGCGGCTCACTCCAGAATACCACTAGGAACACCGAACTGGAAGACAGCGGCAATGGATCGAGCTGGATGGCAGAAGCTCCTTACGGAGGCAAAGATCTGCCCTCGGGTTTTAGTGCCAACAAGATAAATTAACATTTACAATATATACAATTACAATTGTGTATAAATTACTCCAGTAAATTGCTCTGACTGATCGTCATTTGTATCATACTCTAAAAATGATACAATAGATTTATGATAACTAAAGTATATGATGAATACTTTTGACTGAAATCTATTTGCTAAATATCTAACAAAAACCCGTAATTTTTTTTAATTTAACAAAACGTTATCGAGTGCACAAAAAATCGAATAGAAACACATAATTACTTATTTCTTATTTTTATGGCTAATTAAAAAAAAAATCCATATTGACTTCCACAAATTGGTTTATAAATTCTTCATGGTATTAAATTTTGATTATAGTTTTAATGTTATAAATGGTTAAATTTCGAGATATTTTAGTCTAAATGTTCACAACAGAAATTACTTGTTTTTCGGCACTATTGTTTTCATTATACTTCTTCCCTTTCTGACTCTTTTTCCCTCTCTAACACAGTGTCGCATTAAGAGTTATTGAATAATGGTTCATTACAAAGAGTATGAAAAGCTGAAAATTCCCATTCCTTATATTATATATGTCTGATTTTTAGTTTCAGATATATTTTAATCCATATTTTCAACAAAACTACTTGTCATTTTATTTTCGACAATATCTTTTTCTCTTTCCAACTCTCTAACATGGTCTCACGTAAAATATAGTTTTAAATTATAGTTCATTACAAAGAGAATGAAATGCTGAAAATCCCCATTGCTTACAGTATACAGTTCAGATTTTTAGTTCCTGAGATATTCTGATTCAATAACAAAAACACTTCAATTAATCGACTCGAGTCTAAATAAGTGTACTTCCAGTCCTATTCACTAACTACAAAAAAAAAAGTGCAAAACGTGCCTAAAGAACTTTTCACTTCAAAAAATCAATCTACGAGCAGATAATTCTTGGGTTAAGAAAAAGGTATATACCATGAGGGGATTATTGAACCAAGACATGAAAAAAGTAGTGGTCTCTTCCAAAAGCTGAGCAGTTAAGGAGTTGTATAACTCCAATTTGTTTTAATACAAGCCACTTCTATTTACAAATGCAAGGAAACAATCAGGCAATCTTCAAGCGACACTGAGGCCAAAGATGAAGAATAGATAAAAGATAACTCTATTATTTCCAAAACGTATACAATGTACAACAAATCTGACTACTTCCATAGAAAATGTAATATTTACAATAAATATCATTTTTAATATAGCTATTTATCATGCTTTTTTTTCTTTCGAAAAAAAAAAAGTCTTCATAAAAAGCCTGACTTATTATGATAACTAACTGTATTAAAATAAATAAAATCATCAAAGTCATGACAGATGGTAAAGAATAAATTGATGTAGCTAGAGCCTTAATAAATTTTTTGAAAGTTCTCAGAAGTTTTGCTTTTCACAGTATACAACCATGAACTGTCTGTGAACACTGGCAAAAGTCCAGCTTCATGGAGATCAGGAATCCTCATAGGTCCTTCGTTTAAGTATATTCTTCATATTTGGGGATAAGAGCTGCTTCAGGGGTTTCTGGCTGAAGTTTGAATATTGAGTTGTGCTTAAATGACTTTTTTTCTCTCAATTTATTACTAAATATTTTAATAATAATATAGATTTATGTAATTTGGGTTTATTATTTTCAATAAGAAATCTAACAAGAAATTAAAAATTTATAACCTCCCCTAAAAATTTGAGTTTTTAAGTTCCAAGATACATAGGAACCATCCAGGAATCAAATTAATAAAAAAATCTGTCCATGGCTTTTCTCTGAATCTTTCTGACATTTGCTACTAAATTCAAAGGTTATCCCAGAATGAACTTCTGAATTCAACATAACCATCTGCATTTAGAGTGAAAATGGCAAAAATTTCTTTGAAATTTATGAAGTTATAGGAAAAATATAAATAATTTCACCAAATCCCTTAACAAAAAAAGTACTTTTTTTCAAGTATAGATAAATTTATATGATACACATTTTCTGGTACCAAGTAATATAAACATTTTCAGTAATATTTAATAACATGAAAATAATACCTTAATAACAGTTCCATAACGAGTATACTCAGCATAATATTCAGTCTGAGCCAATAAAAGTTCTTTAGGAGGGGCTTTTAGATGTTCCTCTCCACCATATCTAAAAATAAAATAAAATTATTTAAACTGTCTTAAATTAACTGTTTTTAAATAACAGGAAAAACAAATGAAATGACCATAAAGAATTTAAAATATGTTTCACTCCCTCCCAAGACTATACTGTCCTCTTTTGCTTGTCAGTTTAAAAAATTGTAGAAAAAATAAATTTAATTATTTAAGAAGAACTTTCATATCTATAATATATTTCAATTTAGTAGTTGTTTGTTGAAATTTAAATTTTATTTTATTTATTTACTAAAAATTAAAAGTGCACTTTCCTCATTAACTTTAAGAGACTGTTCAATCTATACGAGGAAGAAAGTTCCTAGACCAAAAGTTTTCTTCAAAAATATTTACGAAATGAATTGGTATTGTAGAAAAAACAAAATCATATAAACTAACAAACCTGAAGTAAATAGTTAAAACCATTTAATTACGGAAAATAATATAAACCTACTTTTTAATGAGGTCTTCTTGTCCTTTTTGTTTGAACTCTTCTTTCTTCCCAACAAATTCCTTCTTAAGTACTTCCAGCCTGGTGGGTTCTCCAAGAGGATGAACGTCAACACCCTTGTTATGTGCCTCCCATGCGAACAACTGCACTTTTGCATGATCTAACGTATCTCCGGTGAAGCGCACAAAATTTTCTCCAGCATAGTCCACACTAAAAAAAAAAATGAACAATTTAGATAACTGGTTGAACTGCATTATGAATCATAAACCCAATACCCAAATATAAATGAACTACTTGATATCAACTCTTTAATCTTTTCATATCAACCAATTTTAATTTTTACATTTTTCTAAAAATATAATTCATTGGAATAATTAAAACAATGAAGTTACAGATAAGAAGATAAAATTTTCAAAATAGCACTAAGTGAAATTTAAATTGTTTTCTAAGATCTTTAATAAGTAATGATGAAGAGATCGTTGACCGTGATATAATATGAGAAGAAGTTGCCGACCAACTCCTTCTCATATAATAAGTAACATTCATAAGAGCCTTAAGTGATACTAAAACCATACCATGGCCCATAAATAAATTAAATATAGAATGATGAAAATTTTATTAAATTATTCTAGATAAATATATAAAGTAGCTATATATATATACAAATTCCTTCTTATCTACTTCCAGCCTGATGGGTTCTCCAAGAGGATGAACGTAAACACCCTAGTTATGTGCCTCCCATGCAAACAACTGCACTTTCGCATGATCTAACATATCTTGTATGTATACATAATTTGTATATATATATATATATATATATATATATATATATATATATATATATATATATATATACATATATGTCAATATCATTCAATCAAAAGATAAGTAATGGAATGATGTACTATCACAAGGAGATAACTGACAACTTACTTTTCTAAATGATAAATTAAAGACTATAAATTAGGCAAATTTAAGAAAATTAGAATTACTCAGTATCTGCAGATCCAGCGTAAGGGTTGTCCCTCATACTCCTTGTTTTAGGGTCATAGTAGGCAGAACTGGGATCAAGGTTTCTCAAATATTTGGCTGTGTCTTCTCTGATTCTGAGATTTCTCACAGTGATTCTCTGTTTCGAATCTACTTTTGTCCCTGGCATGTCTACTTCATCCACATATTTATCCTCATCTTCACCACCTTCATCAGCAATACTTTCTTTTGTTTCTTCTTCTTCAGCTTCTTCTGACTAAAACATGTAAATAAAAAAGAAAGATTTATTTCAATTCTTGGAATCAATAAACACAGGATAGTTTCAATATATTTCTTTTATGTTAAAATTGTTAAGACACATTTCTGTGTTTTACAGTAAAACATAGATCACAATAAAAATTATAATATAATGAAACAATACTCAGTCCAATGAAGGACTACAGCGACATATATACATTAAGAAAGAATTATTACAACACACCTGTTCAGAATTAAGTTTATCTGCCCTCAACTGCCTTTTGGCCTCATCAATCCTAGCATATCTATAAAATATCAATAAGATCAGAATCAAATTTCCTTTTCAAACATTAGATACTTATGAGCATATCATTATATACTAATAAATATCAAATAAGAAAAAAAGCAATATTAAGATTTTTTTTAATGGTTAGTGGAAAAATAATTACCTCTCAATAACCATTTTATGTTGTATTGGATCATATCCTGCCCATCGGTCCCTTTTGCCATCATAATCTCGTGAGAGCTCAGGTTGAACAAATTCATCAGGTGCAATTTTAGCACCAGTAAATCTAGCACCTATTTTCCGTGGTCTCTCCATGCAATCTTTTTTTTGATGGGTAATGGCTCCACAATTCTCACAAGCACCTTTTCTATACTTTGTTATCACTTTTGACTGTGAATATTTCAAGTTTATGTTAGTGTTAATGAATGTTAGATCCAAAATAAATGTCCTATTTTATAAATATAAAACTTTAAGGATAAAACTATACTAACTATAAAAACAATTGATAAACCTCTCTAAAAGTATATCTGAAGAAGGTATATTTACTTACAGAGTCAACTCCTCGCTTGTACCATTCATCAATACCGGAAAACTTTTTAACACTCTCTTCTTGTATTCTCTGATGTTTAAGTGTAGGGCCTTTAGCACTATAGTACCAAGGAGCAGATGAAATGTATTGTGGAATGTGGGGATTAATATCTTTCCCTTCCTCATCTACAGCAGCAGGGGCAGTACCAGCCTTAGAACAAAAACATTTTTATAGACTAACGCATTATAACTGAAAATATAAATAGAAACACTTTAAATTACCTTTCTTGCTTCCTCCAATTCCTTCGCTTTACGCCAATCCTCCCTAGATTTCTTTTTGGGCTCATCTGAATCAGCACTACTCTTCAAGATTTCAGAAACTGGCACTGAAGGATTACTTAAAGCCATTTTTATTTCAAGAAGCTAACACTTTATAAATTCAATCACGTTAAAAATTGTAATATCTTCAGAATTAATATTTCAAGCAAGAAACATTATAAAACTTAATCCCATGATAAAAACAAAAACACTAATGAAACCTACTTCACAATATAACCTGGCGGCAGTGGTGCCAACATACTACAATAAAAAATAAGTAATTTCATATTGCACTATTTTTTATTTTGAAATGTCATTTTCTAATTTATAATAAATTTAGCACACCTCTTTTAAGGATAGTTAAATAAAGATGCAAATTCTTTGCGTTATTCCTTTCTTAAGCCAATAATTTTTGGGAGGACGGACTTTATATGTTTGTTTTAGTGATAGGAAACATAGATCAGTTTAAATGGCCCCTAACACGGTAACTAGTATTGAAGCAATAAAATTGCTGGCAATATATTGAAGGGGTATCTATTATTATATCAGTTAAGATCTTTCATCTAAAGAAGAAGGTTTCCAAAGAGGTAATCTTTCTTTTTTTTTGGAAACGAATTTCCTATTACTATAATTGCATTGGCTTAAGCATTAAAAAAAAAAAGTGTTCTATAACTTGTAACTTCATAATAGTTAAAGGGGGTGAAATACTGCCATTTTGTATTTTTAAAAAACATTTAAGGGGGGTTCTTCCTTTCCTTTCCCCAAAAAAGTATTCCCCACCTACCCATACATATTGTCATTATATCTTTAAAAAATATTCGGTGGAGGGGATTCCCCTAAAAATAATTAAAGTAAAAATAAGTGGCATCTATCTACCCAAACATATTGCCATTCCATATTTAAAAAAAAAAACTTTGGATGAAAGGATTAATCCCCCCCAAAATAAAATAACAGTAAAACAAAGTATCACCCACTTACCCAAACATATTGCCATTTTATGTTTTAAAAAAATTCGAAGGGAAGGATTAAGTTTCCTCCTTCCAAAAAATTAAAACAGTAGCACCCACCTACCCAAACATATTGCCATTTTATCCATAAAAAAAAATTCGGAGGGAGGGAGGTTAACTCCTCCCCTCCTCCCTCCAAAAAGAAGTTAAACAAAGTATCACCCACCAACTCAAACATGCCAAAAGGGGCAGCGGAAATTCGGTATTGCCCAGAGCTTCTCAAGATCTGTAGATATGATTTAATATTGCTCAATACAACCCTTACAAGTGCAATTATATTGACACCGTTTCAGTTTTATTGAAGGAGCTTCAATAAAAATAAAAATAAATTGATATCATCCAGTTTGATTGATGTCAATATAATTGATGCCAATGTAGCCCTTACAAGGTCAATATATTGACAAAACTCGATATTGACTCAATAATAGTGTAAGGCAGGATTTAAAATCGATAATTAATTTTGTCATAAAAACATGTTATAATTATTATATTTGATTTTCAGTTCAAAAATCGAGTCCGATTTATAAATAAAAATTTATATCGATTTTTGATTTTTATTTATTCAATTAATGTCACTGAGTGATACAGTTTTACATAAATAATAATGATTAAATTTTGATAAAAAAAATTTTGATTAGAAAATAAAAATCATCTTTTACACACAAATTAAATTAAATATTGATATGTGAGTATACATTATTAATGTACACATTTTTTAAATATTGTATTTCTGAAATCACTTTAATTGTGCGAACGGCACCTATACTGTGCGTGTACATATATATATATTTTTTTTTGTAAGCTAAAATTTCGGAAATAAAGATGTTCTGTTGCCAATAGGTGACTACAATATTTTGCACTTTATTACTCCAGACTCAAAACATATCATAGAGATTAGAAAAAAAATTATATTTCTGATTTAAAAAGTATTACGTGAGAATCATTATTATTATCAATTGTAAAAAGAATGATCAGGATATGATTTTTAACACTTGCAAAATCAATCAAAAAATCATCAAATGATTTTTAAAAATTCCAGATAAAATCTGATCAGATTGATTTTGATTTTTTTAATTATTGATTTCAAACCGTGGTTTAAGGGATTACAATCATTTATTTATCTATTAAATATTTAATAGTTGACTGTTGCATTATAAAGGAAGGAGATGGTCCAGGGTGGCGGTCATACATTTTTATGTCTATTATTTCATATTATATCCTTTTTCCTTTTCTTTCAATCTCTCCTGTAGATCTGTAGAAGTATATTCACATTTGCATTTATTATATATTACACTACAACAATTGTTAGCATCTATTTACTTCAGTTTTACTCTGTTCATATTTTAATGTACTTACTGTTTATAATTTCAATAAGATTATTCACATTGTTTATAAATTTTGTCTAAGTATTATGTAACTGCCACAATTCTCTATCTTTTTGTATCTTGTCTGTTCTAGCCCTGAAGAAGACCTGCAAAGTCGGGTCAAAACGTCGGCTTTTAATAAAATAGTTTTACCACTATTTAGCCTATTTATGACCGCCACCCCGGTCCATCTCCTTCCTTTATTTATTTATCTAACATTTTTATTCTATGATAAAGCTAATACATTTACTAGATTCAACCCTTAAAAAAATATCTTCCTGATGGTCCTTGACATCTTGAGTCGAATATTATCAAATAAGTGTAAATTGTAATTCATACCTCCCTGCCTTTATTCAATATCTGTCTTGGAACAACCTTATATTTTAAATTAAGAATAATTTAATCACTATCTTTAATTTCAATATTTTTATTTCTCTAATTATCTTCTTCACTCATATATTACCTGCCCATGCACCTTTCTCTGTTATAGTCCCAAAACTTAATTTATATATAATTACAAAATGTTCTATAATTGAAGTGAAATATTTGAAGGGATGATAGCGAATGTCAAGAGCTACAAAAAAAATGTACTACATTAAAATATTATGTGATTTGATATTCTGTCACTTAATAGTAGCCATGTTTTCAGCAAAATTGATTTTTTGCTCCTTTTTTCCCCATGACCTGGAAATATTTTATAATTAACATAAATGCATTGTTATATGTTTTATTTATTTAACAAAATATGTTAAAGATAATAACTTTTCAAATATTTATCATCTACATAAATATAATGAAACTTTTTAACCAATCTAATACATGAATTGATCCATATTTATAAGTGACCAACCAAATATTACTTACTAATCCTAATGTTTACATTTTCATTAAAATAAGTATTAGTAGGTTTATTTTTTTAGAAATATTTACTTTTAATAATGAGCTATCACTTTAATTTGGTTATTATTTAATATTTTGGCATTCAAAGAAACAATTAATATGTATATAAATGTACATAATGTTTTTTGGAGTGGAGAGGCTTCAGCTGAAAAGATCTGCTTAGTTAAAAATGAGAACTTTATTATTGAACCTAATCTGGAAAGGGTGTGAGCTATTTATTCGTTATTCTCAAATATATCAAGCTTATAGATTTTTTTCTCACTTCTGCCTTTTCTTATTTGGTTCATGACTCATATCATTCAAATCTATTATTTCTCATTTATCTTTAAACATATGCACACTCTAATCTGATATGTTTTTTATTTCTTTATGCCTTTCCGTAAAACAACTTACTACATTTAAAAAATCCTTCATTAATTATGCAACTTACTTTTGGAATTAAATTTCTCTCTCCTAGTCCCGAAATCTCCTTTCTCATTTTATTTATTTAGTATTTTTTTGTTGCTTCAATCCTGCAGGGTCATTAACAAAATCCTCTCATTAAATTCCATTATATAGTTTCACTGCTTTTAAGAATGATAATGTTTTTTAACACTGCCTCTTCTTTTCAGGAGGATATCCATGTTGAGCAGTGGGTTTTTATTTCTATCAATTTGGAATCCTTTTGCTCCCACTTACTTATTTTCCCAAATTGTCCACACATCCATCTTAATTTTTCTCATGTAGTCCTCTAAACGGGTTTCATTAATTGGTTCCATCGGAGTTGTGCTTGCCTTTCTTGCCATGTCGGCTGCTACATCAGCTAGCTCATTTCCAGTGACCCCGCAATGCAAAGGGACCCGTTGAATCTTATTGGTTTTATCTTCCTTCTCCTTTAAGAGCCACCAAAAGTTTCTTACTTCTTTCACTAGAGTAGTTTTTGGCTTGATATTTTCAATGGCTTGTAATGAACTCAGATTAAAATAAATTTCTCATTTTAATCTTGTTTCTGGGTTGATCTTCAAAAAATTATTGCTCCTTCATTCAATATAAATATAATGGTAAATATTAAATTTAGCATATTCTTAAATTTTATTTGTGCTTAAGAAAAAATATTTTTGCTAGTCTATCTATGGAGAAAATTATAGTAATATTATTTTAATAATTATTTTTATTTTGACTTACCTATATATGTAATATATAGTAAGGATAAGTATTGCGTGAACATTTTTGAATCTGAGTTTTCAACGGAAATATACGTTTGGAGATCCCTTGAGTCCAAATAACCAAGAACCGCAAAATGGTCTGCGAACAGTCTTGCTCAAAAATTAAAAGTCGTACGAAACTGATATTTCATATTTAAGATAGGTTTATGCCTTAGATGTGACTGCAACTTTTTCCTTAAAATGGGCTTACCGGAATTGCCACTTTATATCATCGGTGAAACACATTTTTACAATTTTCTCAAAAACAGCTCTAACGAATTTGATTAAACTCGATGGATGTATCATTGTACAACTAAGTGGTCTTTAACAGTATTTAGGTCTTATTCCCATTGATGTCACTTTACAGGGCTTAAATGCCCAATGTTCATATATTTTTTCCTCTAAAGTACCTTTACTATGATTTATTTTTTAAAAAAATTGTTTTCTTTTATTGGCAATAACTATAAGAATGGCTAGATATGAAGTTTGAAAGAATATATTTTTTTTTTTTTTTTTTTATCTTCCTCCGAGGCCTGTATATTCCTCTTACCTCGACTAGTTAGATATGCTCTGATTCCATCTATGTCCATTCTGTGAAATGAAAATGTCTCACACTAACTTAATAAATAAGAAAATTAATTTCATTCAAATAAAACCATAAATAAATTAGTTTAGGAAGTATTAGGCCTCAAAAGAATTTTGAACTATTCCAAACAAAAGTAATAAAACATAAGTTTTTGCTTTGAATTAGCCTGTAATTAATGACGTTTGCAAGGCTACAGACTGCTGGTTAACTTAAATATGTTTAGGATAACAACAATAATTTATTTTTACATTCTGTCAGATTTATAGTACTTTATAATTTCCAAATTATAACCTTCGATTAATTCCATTCCAAAGACCTAAATTAAAGAAATGTTACATTTGTTTGGATATAACGATTTTTATTCATAGTAAAAAAAATCCATTGATTTTCTTTAGACGGTGAAAAAATAAAAGGAACAAAAAAATAAATAAAGGCAACAAATAAATTTTATAATACATATATTTACTTCTGAAATTTAATACGAAATCCATAAATATACAAGCTGAAGAACATATGGACCAGTTTATATCCTTTTATACTTGAATTGGAAATGTATTCACCAAATATACAGTTATAAACATAAATGTCTTTTACAAGCCTAGCTAACTAAAATGTTTTTTCTGATCAGTAACCATTTGTACTTGTCAATAAATAAAAACAATAAGGCCTCTGATGTGTACATTCATGTCGGCACTTCTACAATATCTACATATTTTTCGGTAATTTTTAAAACAAACTTAAGCAATTTAACAATAAAATAATAAATAACAAACCAATAAAACCATAAAAGGCTATTAACTGGAACAGAATGTTGTGATAATGGACATACTGGTATGAACAAACAATTAGTTTCTAAAGTTAACAAAAGAAATGAACATCAAATACATTCTCGCCCACCCATGCCTTTACACTCAGATTGATAGAAAACAGTGAACGTAAGAAAGGAAGAAACGATCACACTTATAAAAACTTTCTTTTACCTGTCTCTAAAAGTCTTGGCATATGTATATACACAAGAGACAATGGTAATTATTATTGGTAACGAGTAAAAGTGAAAAATTACAACAGTTAAGTACCAGCTGGTTTATATATTCTGCTTTATACTTCACTCTCTCAACTATCATCACTTCACACACTGTTTACAGATGGGAAGAAAAAACATTTTTATTTATCATATTACTTTTTTCAACTATAAAATAATAGCTCATAATATATATATATTTATATGTATATAATTAACTATTCATCCATTTATAAAATAGACAAATGCACATTGCACTCTCCATTTAACATTTAGTGAGATCACGGGTGCCCCAATTCCTCAAAGTTAAGGAAAAAAAAAGCACTTGTGAAACTGGGGCAACAAAAAATAATTATAAACAAAAAAAATAACAACATTGTTTTATTATCCAATTGAAAATTCCTTTAATCTACAAATTAAATCTAATCCTTGTAGAAAAAGTGTAAAGTAGGGCAGGATTATTTAATTTTTTTTCTTAAAGCCACGTTTTAATTACAATATTTACAACAAAAAAAAGAAAAAACAGAAATTAATCCCTTACATCTTTTCATTAATTTTGTAACGAAACGAATCTACAATCGATGAGCAAACAACAATAGAATATTCTTCATTATTTTTGTCACCTTGAGAATGTATCGTTGATTATGTTTGAAAAATGGACAAAATGTACAAAATATATATACAAAACAATATTTTTTTTTGTGTATGTATACATAATTATTTATATGTATAATATATATAATAAACATTTCTATATACACTGATAAAAGAAGGTGTCTATATATGAACAAGATAATGTGCACATTCGTTTTTTAACAACGTCCGTATGTCGTTGATTGCCTTTTGGCTACGTGGCTGACTGCTGTCCGTTGGACATGTTGTCCTCTGGTTCTTTCTTCACTTCTTGATCACTCGACTGATCTTGTTGCTGGCTTTCAGCCGCTGCCAGAACAGCCAAAGAGTCTTTCACTGCATGGTACATGATGTTTTTGATCTGCAGTTTGTCCTCGTGGTTCGTATGAGTGTCAGATAACTCTCGGAACTCCTGTGTGAGGTGAAAACAATGCGACACATTTTCAGGTGAAACAAAATCTTCGGCAACCTTTATGCAGTTGTGTAAATTCCTAACCTGTACAAAAATAATATGAAATTAGTACAGAATAGAACTATACCTTATTCCCAGTCTTAGTACTTAATAAAGAAAAGGAATATATCATATATATATGATACAGAGGAAATGTTACATATTTTAATTTTTAATGAAATTGAGATACGCATTCAATTTGATATGAATTTTCCCATTGAATCTCTGTAAAAAAACTAGTTTAATGAAATTCTGCTTGATGCTAACTAATAAAAATAAAAACTAGATAGTTTTTTTATTTTTAACTTCTTGAAAATTGACAAAATTAAGAAATAAGCTTTTCATGAGATGATGATTGATTTTGAGATTGATCTCTAGTCATTGGAATAAGTAAGTAAAAATTTAGTTTGGTTTTGCCTTTGATTTTTTCAAGTAGACAATTACTCCATTACCCGAAAGTGTAACGGTTTCTCTCAAAGTCCTACTTCAATATGAAAAAAGATACATTAAATTCAAATGACTGAATTTATTTTTGTACTAAAAATTACTCTTACAATGAGTTAACTCAAGCTTTCAGAGATCTCTAATACTGTGTTTATCTGTGAAACACTATAAAAATGTATAAAATAAACACCAGTTCTGTTTGTAGAAAGATGCAATACTACTATTCATGATAATATAGTTTTTATTTAAATTTTTAAGTAAAATATTATTTTTAAAAGACACAAATTGGTTATGCTTATAATTTGAAATATCTTTTATTGAAATAATAAAATTTCAAATTATTCCACTAACTTTCTTTTCTAAAACTGTGACCTAACTTTATTTTCTAATCCATAAATAAATAAATATTTATAAATTTAAGTGCTAATATAAATATAAAGAAACAAACCTGATGAGGCGCACCAGCAGGAATAAACACAGCATCGCCAAGACACTGGACTATGGTATAACCCTCGACACCATATTCCCTATACAACCTGTCCCTCAGCTCACCATCCAGGTACCAGGACTGATCATGGATGGGGTCATGGTGAGGTTCGAGACGTGCACCTTTTTCTAAAGCAACCTGTGACAAATAGAACATGCAAGTTGTATTAAATTAATCAAAATCGGGGATAAGCACTGATAATAGAGAAATAGAACGTTCTTTCAGTACAAAAAAATATCCTTAAATGAAAAACAGAAAATGATTGCATTTTAATTTAAACAAATTTAAAAGTGAATTTAACTCACCATAAACTTAGGCTGGGAATAGTATTACAATTACTGTTGATTAATTAATATTTATTGTTAAATAGATTTGCGTAATATTTATTTTCGAGTTATCTTGCACTTGAAAAATTATTATTATGATATTTCTTTGGAAACGTAACAGAAACTTTTTTAATTTGTTTTACTAAAAAAACTTTATTTATAATTTTCATTTATTGCCATTATATGTAGAATATCAACAGCTTGAATTCTTGTGATGTATTTAATGAAATTGAGATTTTTATTCTTATAAGAAGAAATTCTTCAGATTTCCTCACCCTTTTTATGAACAAAATTCACTGATGTTCCGTTATTATTCTTCTATAAACAGCCTGTTTGCATTTTTTGTAATACCGTAAGATGGGGAAACTTTGGAACAGCAGATAAAGTTCAGTTTGTGGTGTTTCCTTGGTGGATGCACTGTGTTGGTCCAGTCTGCAAAAATGTGCTTTGTGTAGGCACATACTGCGCTACTACCTTGCATTAATTTGAGAACCCTAGTTCACTACACTAGTTGTGCAGTTAGGTTTTATTTATTTCCATTGATTTTTTCAAAATTCTTGTTTTCATAAAACTTTCACTTGTGCCTCAAGGTAATAGCGCAGTACATGCTGAATGAACTAACACAGTGTATCCACCACAGAATCACTACGAACTAAATTTTACCCACCGTCCCAAAGTTACCCTATCTTTCAGTATTTTTATTGAATCATACTTGTTTGTTGATTGGTTCAAACTTGAAAGACTGTTGTTCCAGTTTTAAAAGTTCAATTATCAACATTTTTATATATTCTTTTATATTTTTTAATAATTTACCAAGGATACAATTTTTCTAGGAAAGAAAGTTAATATCAACTCAGTTGATGTCTATACATTTTTATGAAATAAATCTATTGCAAATATGGACTTTTTTGAAATGCGGATCCAGCAGATACTTTGATATACACAAATTCCTGTTACATTATTTTGTTACTTGATTAAGCATGCTTTTATTGTCAAAAAAGAGTTAAATTTACCTTATTAAGAAGGTCCCTGATCTTATCAGCATCCCTCGCCATGTAGATATGCCAGAGGGCACCAGGCAGTTGGCCCTTCTCCCTCACGCGTCGCTTCGTTATCACATCACAGCCTGCCTCGTCGATTGCTTTTAATGCATCTGCAAAGTAAAGTTAAACATAAAGCTATGTGATAAGAAATCTGTTAAGTCTAATATAATTATGAAAGATGCTAACTAATAACTCTCATATCAGTATTAAACTTAAACTGAAAGAATTCTAAAATATTATAACAAGTAAAGACAATTAATACTTTTAAATTGTGTTTCCATAAATTTTAGTGATTATTTATGGCAGATAAATATTGTAGGACAATATGATATCCCAGTGAAACTGAGGACACTATTGCAAGATATGTAACTGACTTTAAGACCACCTCAAAATGCCAATAACCAATACTAGCCAATAATCAGTACATGCATGTTAAAGTACAATAAAACTAGAGGGTAAGAGAAAGAAAAAAATATTAGAATAACTTTTTAGAGGACATAAGCAAAAACTAATAGAAAAACTTGGCTTCTCGAATTGCAAATTTACCCCATAATATACTCAAAGATGTATTTCTTATTAATTAATTACAATAGTGCTCCATTAGCTTCCATAAACTACATTCTATTCAATAAAATGGAAATTGTTATATAATTCTATATTATTATACTAATGTTGCCTAAAGCTATTTTTTCCCCCAGTTTTGGCATAAATGCAAAATTCTCAGTATTATAACATTAGATAACTGGGATTTTTGTATCAATCCACTAATTCTGGAAACAAATCAGCCTTTAATATCAGTTTTTAGACTTTATTTACATTATATAGCTTTTAAGCCTTTGTTTAATTGCTCAAATGAAAATTTAGTTAAATTATACCAGAATTTTGTTTTCTCAGAAAAAAAAAAATGAATGGATGCATCAGATGGAAGTAATGTCTAAAAATGGTTCCTTAGTCTAGAAATGGAAGTTTAAGTTTCAGTCTGACCATCCTCCTAACATCAATATCCAAATCAGAAATTCCAACAGAAAAAAAATCTCCATAATATATACTGCAGACCAATATTAATGAAGTATCACATGATTTACTACAAAATCTCTTGTAATTTTTATTACTTTAAAATACCTACACAAATTCAATAATAAAAAAATTGCTATTAACCTTTGGAATAAGCATCTGTGTCAACATCTGATGGGATCCCAACGTACACCATGACATTAACCGCATCAGATATGTCAAGATGGAGGTTGGTAGTGCCAGCAGTCGGTGAACCATATGCTGTATACATCTTTGGGCCAAGGTCCGGTCTAACAAAACACTCCGGAAGGCGAGATGCAAGATTCAACCTGCCTCCTCGCTGGGTGTAATCTCCCATTGGCAAAACTTTCATTAAATCACTAAACCTGTTAACAAATTAAATTATGATAATTAATTGAGAAAATGGGAAAAAAATGTATATATCAGAATGCTTTGAAGTAGATTATTTAGTGATTGAGTAAGTTTATAATTACCTAGATGGAAGCATTTCAGCGAAATCCTCTCCAGGTGGCCAGTCTTTGAGTTTGAGTATCATAGGTTGTCCCTTGTCATCCTTTAATCTTTTAGAGATGGAACCGAAACCTTCCCAGAACTTCCTCATTGGCTGAGAGGAAACAGTGTTACCTGAACTACAGTCAATGAGGTCATTTTTAGTGTCACCGAAATCCCTTAAAAATGATTCTGGTGTCCACAATTCTTCATCAAGTTCTTTACTCATGTCTGATATTAATACTGGTTGTCCTCTTTTCCACTGGTCCTATAATGTAAAAATACTGTTATAAAAAAGTTTTAAAACAAATTTATAAAATTATGAGAATTTTAATACTGATATTAGGACATTCCTAAAGCTTTCATATATGAAAAATAGAAGCTATACTTAACATCATTTGGTTTTTATTTTTAACACTTCTGATGTCATTATTACTAAAGAGAAAAAAGAACACAACTCTATTCACGTTATTTTATAATAAACGAGAAAAACTAGCCAGAACTTAAAATTTTGTTTAAACCAAGAACTTCCTAGATTATATTTAATATTTCAAAATGAAACTAAATCAAAACACTGAATTGAATTTTATAAGAACAGTTACCTGGAAAGCGACGAAGTTGTCAGACGATTTTGAATCGTGTAACCTCAACAATCTGCCATCGCACAACCAAGAATGAGGTACTCCAGGATACAGAAGTTTACTTTCAGTCAGTGTCATGACCCTTGCTGGTAATGTTTCCTTTGCAGCTATATTCTTGAAACGCCGAATGAAATGTTTCAATTCCCCTCCTTGCAATTCATCTTTCGCTGTAGGGACGGACGCCTCAATCACAGTACTGATGACCTAAGGGAGATTTAATATAATTAATCTACTCTCAATACTTTCTATTGTAATGTTATAACAATAATGTAAACGCCATCGATGTGCCTACCTGATCTAATGTTTCAAGATGTGGTGGCCTTTTTCCAGGAAGCCTTGTAACGGGAGAATTAGACCTAGAACCATTGCTTTTACTACTCGGCCTAATAAGGAGTTCACGCAGAGTGGAATATGCCTCCTTATCTTCATCATCTTTCAGAGAACTGACATCCTAGAATATAATTCAAGATTTATTAAACCAATGTTACTATTAATATATACAAATGTAGGCAGTGGTTCAGTATTCTGGACATGGAACATGGAATTCCATGCAAGAAAATTGTTTAAAGTGAAGAATAAAAGAATTATTTTTAAATATTTAAAACTTAAGTAGTCCTATACTTTTACTAACAATTTACAAAATAAAAATTTAGCTATTGATAAAAAGCTTGAAGCAAAAGGATTTGAAGAATTCGTTAACAAAATTTTGTAATCAACAGCTGCTTGAGTAAAATCACACACCACTAATTCAATAAATTCATCCACTTTAATAAAAGAATGAGAAGGTTGAATCAACACAATAAGTTTACTATGATTGGACATCAACAATGGGATCAGTACCACACCATAAAAATTGAGACAATTTCAGGCAAGTTAACTGTAACTCTATACAACCTAAAAAACATCCTAAATGACGGAATTATTAATAGTGATTGTCTTAAGTAATTATTGAGGCATTTAGTCCATTTTATAGGCTGTTTGCAATGCAATTTAGCTTGCCAAAAGTTGCACAACCCTTTTTTTTTTGGCATTTAGTCAGCCCATAATTGATATCCAGTCCTATATGTAATTTCTAAGACCACACTAAGTGTAGCATCCAAATTTATAATAATGATTCCATTATTTACCTCACATGAACCTGATTTTTTGTCCTCTGATAGCGCTACATCTGCTAACCATGAAAGAGGAGAATTACTTTCATCATTTTTCTTATCACTGGTACCATTTAGTTCTTTACATTTCTATAAAAAAAAAATAATAATAATAAAACAATCATATAAACAATAAATATATATGTAAAATGAATTAGTCAAAAAAAAAAAAAAAAAAAAAGAGAGGGTTTTAAAAGCTTAATGATCCTTTCTGGAACTCACCTTAACCAGGCCATTGAGTGACGATTCGGAGCATGCACAGCGTTGCGGAATCCCCCATGAATGCCTGGCATCATGTATTCTCCTTCCGATTTGTGCTAAGGAATCTCCCGCAATGATTTGAGTGAGCATCAGTTTCTCCTGTTCATGGGCTTGCCTGTTTGTACACAGCAGCCATGAAACGTCGTCACGGTCACGTCCTGGTTCTCCCCATGTCTTTAACGCACCAGTTTTCCTGCCCTGAAGAACAAGAGACCAAACAAATGATTTATTTTGAAAACCAGGTCATTAATTAGCTTCACAGAATTTTAGTGAACAAACCTTGTAACAGTCAATGCAGACGACAAAACCACACTTCCCACAGGCCCAATGGAAGTTAAATAGGGTTGTTTCACAAACATCACACATTTCTCGAACTCCTTGGACTACTCGTTTCCAAGCTATTGTCTTATCTAAACATAAAATTACAAAATATTGAAATTATTACGATGAATAACGTTAAAAAAAACTTTTCCTTGAAATGAACACTTATAATCTTAAAATCAAAACATATAAATTTTAGTTAACTTGTAGTAAACATTTTTTTTTTTTTTTTTTTTTTTTTGGGCTCTACCACAAAATTGTTATCAATTAATTTTATTGTATGTGCAGTCAGTTCCAAAAGCTACAATATCCAAAATGATGAATTTGAAAAATAAAATATATATATGATAATGTTCATAATTAGTGATGTTTAAGTTTTGCCTTTATGTTAGACATAAATATTAAGTTATGATATGAATAACTTAAAAAATTGCCCCAAAAAACCTTTAGAACAAACATCTATAAGCAATTTATTTAATACAATTGACGTAAGGCCTGGTAAATAATTGAGTGTGATATTTTTTTCTAAAATAATCATTGTTGATAACTTACCTTCAGCCATGTGAATTGATATTGCTTCTTTTTCTTGTTGAAGAAGGTCACAGAACTGGTCTCCCAATTGAGCTAATAGAAACCGCGACATATCTATGTCAAGACCTGCAGGTGCTGAGCCAGGCAGCCAAAGTTTTAAGTCTTCCTGTAAAATTAAATCAAGTGATGGATTAAAAACAAACATAATCATTATAAACACTAAATAATGATTCTATTGGATAAAGCAATTACTGAATTTTGTATAAGTTTGAAATAATTATGTCTAAACATCTTAATATTAAAAAATAAAATAGTTCAATAAACTTACTGGCAAAGCATCCCTGTGAGGATCTGAGAAACCGGCAATCGCAAGTTGTCCATTTTTCGTATACCTTAATCTTCTAAATGCATAAAACCGGCAGAAAATGTTAGGCATATTCCTATTCCTCTGATTAGGCGTCCACCTACATTCACGGCACTTGGCTAACTTAGGTGCAACTTCAAAACATGGTCCATCTTGCAAAAAACTCTCTCCTGTTTTCTTTAATTGCCCCACGCTAGGTTTCTGGATGTAGTCGCGTTGTGGAGCTACTAAAGATTCAACTTCAGAAGAACCTTTAGACTTCCGCGACTCATCCTCATTTCCGTTTTTTGACGGCGTAGATTTAGGTCGCCTCCCCCTTTTCTTACCGATGACGGTTGATTCTAACTTCTTTTCTTCTTTCTTCTTACTTCCCACAGTACTATTTGTATCAGATTCTTTATCACTACCGCTTTCTTTTTCACTATCAGTACTTGATACACTAGTTTTTTTCCGTTTAGTCTCTTCAGGCACACTTTTTCTACCCCCCTTCTTCCTTTTCACTTTTGGAGGAACACGTTTTTGAGGAGTTGCTTTTCTTTCTGGATCAGAAGACGATGAATCATCTGCCTCAGGACTTTTGCTAGGAACATGTCCATTGAGTTCCTTTGGTTTCCTACTCTGTTTAGGTTTTTTTATCGAATTGACTGCCATACTTCCTATACTATGGAGTGATACTGATGGTTGAACAACAGCAGTCGATGTGACAGGCATTGGCAGTGTTACACACACTCCTCCACCTTTGACATCTTCAGTAGTGTTAGTATCTTCACCAGAATGTCTCTGCAACCAAGCTTTCTTTAATTTATGAACAGGTCTTGGAGATTCTCTACCCTGTGGTGAGGGAGTTATGGTAGTTATTGTAGGAAGTGGGCTGGATTCACTAGTCCTATTAATTACAGGTTCTTCTTCAGTCTTGATTTTCTTTGCTTCTGGCTGAGGGCTTTCAGACTTACGTTTAGGACTACTTGATTCCCTGGCAACACCTAAATCAAGAGGCTGTGTTTGAAAGGCTGGCGTAATTGCCAGACCTGGGCCTGGTGGAGAAGCTGGAGGCTGCTGCTTAACAGCTAAGCCATAACCCTTGGTGACTCCATGTGCTGCTGGCGGAGGTGGAAGACCACCAGTACTAGCCATCTGAGCTGGAGGTGGCAGGTTATGCTGGGAGACCTGCTGATAAGGAGATGGTGTCAGGGGTTTAGGAACCTCAGCACTCCTGCTCAATGGTCTACTCTTACCATATATCTGTGGAGATGGACTGCTAACTTTAGGTTTAGGAGGGGTAGTTGGTGGTGCAGCGTACATAACTGGGGCAGGATAAGGGTAAGATCCGACAGTAGCAGACTTTGTATAGCTCATGCCGGGAGGAGAAGGATGCAAATGAGGTGAAGGTGGGTGGTGAGGAGACTGCCTATGGTGTGGAGACTGCCTATGGTGACTATGAGGAGATTGCCTCTGATGTGGAGACAAATGTTGAGGTCGATGTACATGAACTTTCGATATACTGGCTAGGTTTTGAACTTCATAAGGGCCAGTATGAGGGGACTGTGATGGTGACCTGTACTCGTATGGAGACTTAGATGGTAAGTACTCCCTCAATTTGGGACTTGGTGGCTGAAGCCCAGGTGACTTATCATTTTTAACGATCACAGTATTCTTGACAGAATCTTCTACTGCTTTGGTTACTACTAATGATGGCTTGTTTTCAGGCTTCTTTTCATGGTGAAGAAAAGTCAATGACTGTTGGTAGGCAGGATAACAACCACCAAATATGCTGAAGTTAGGTTCAGCCTTGGGCAATGCCTGCGGCTTTTCTGGCTGTTGTTTCACTTTGCTATGCGCAGGGGGTGGAGGATAATCCACCTTGAAATATCTCTGCGGGTGATAACTCCTCTCCCTCTCCCGCATGCGCTCCAGCATCCTAGCCTGGTCCTGCTGCTGTTGCTGCTGAGCCTGGGCTTGAGCCTGAGCTTGAGCCTGGGCTTGGGCCTGTGCCTGCGCTTGAGCTTGAGCTTGTGCTTGGGCTTGGGCCTGAGCTTGAGCCTGGGCTTGCTGTTGCTGCTGCTGCTGGGTTTGTTGGTGTTGAGGTTTGTCATCTGTACGTGGACCTGGTAAATTGTTGATCCAGCACATACTACTTCGGTTCTGAAACAGAAAATTAAATAGATTACTTAAAAAAATAATAATCATTAAGTGCATTAATGAGAAAGAATATAATTAATGAATGAGAATATAATTATATGTAATGAATCAATATAACTTTAAGTTAAAATTGTTTGATAGTTGTAAAATATTGTAATTTTAAAAAAATCCAAAAGTAAATAAGACTATTAAATGACAAAAACAAATCCTCCAAAATAATAAATCTAAAGCTTATCAAATTTCTAGTTTTTCTGTGTCAATCAGTTAGGAAATAATTGCTTAGCAGTATTCATAATAAAAATATTCAATACCTATAAAATTATTTATACAGTAAAATCATCTAAGAGATATATTGTAACTACATACTCCGTGCGTTTAACTATCTTTAAAAGTATCTCACAAACAAGAACTATACAATATACTAATATACTATACAATCAAAATTGTCAACCCAATAAATGTTTTATAATAAAAAAATAAATGTTTTTAATTATAAATTTGTAATGTGCTTGCATATATTAAATTCTAAGCCATCTTGTTAATAACCCAACCCCTTATCAGATTTTAAATATTGCATAAAGGACCATATGAAAAACTAGAAACAACAGGTCAACGAACTCATATAATCAAGAAAAAAAAACTGTTGTTTTGAAGCAGCTAAACATAAATCACTACTGTAAGCATAAAAACACTAGTCATCAAATAATTGATTTATTACAATTCTGATCACATTTATTTAACTCGGTGACAAAATTTAAATCATCAACTCCACAGTAACTGACATATTCAAAAAATATTTTAAATTCCTTTTAAAAAATATGTAAACTAAACTAATTCTCACATATGCTTTGAATAAATGTTGTAAAAATGAATAAATTTTAGTAAATAATCAAATTATCAGGAAACAATGTAGATGAAATAATTTTTAATTAACTTAAGAAAAAGAGCATAATATGGCAGATAAGAAAAACAAAATTGAAAAGCATCATAATTGCTTTTGATTTTTTTTCTTTATATTAATGGAAGAAAAATTGGAGATTTATGTACATATTCATTTATAATAATGTGAATGCACTATTAAAAACCATTTTAACAATAAAATTATTTTTAATTCATAAGAGGCAAAAATGGAGCTAACCCATTCATGTAAAATTATTTTAATTTCAATGAACAAGTTATTATGCATGAACAAAGTTAAAATAAAAAAAAAACTGGGGCAGTGTATATTAAAACAAGTTATTATGCATGAACAAAGTTAAAATAAAAAAAATACTGGGGCAGTGTATATTAGAAAATAGTTAATTTCATTTAATACAGAATAATTTCATAACAATAAATGCTTAATTCAACCATTATAATTGTGTTTAACTAATTTAATAATTGGTTTTCATAATTTAAAGTTACAGCCTAGCCATGGATGAGGAAATTTTATAAGATGATGAATGATAAAATTTAAGAAAAATTAATTTGGTCAAGTTGAAAAAATATAATAAAACTATAATAGCCTACAAATGAATCAATTTAGGTAGAAACAATTTTATATAAACATTAATTTACGAAGTTTTCCAACACTACGAAATTAAACATGATTTATGCTTCAATAGTTTTCATTATTGAAGATAAAATAATACTTAATACAAATTTTGTGTGGGTTCATAATAATCAAATATATATTTTCAAATTTCACAATAATATTCGTTCAATGTAACTACACTATTTAACTATAAATCAAACATATACCTCCATCATATTAGCGTAAATCGGTATAGAACAACTGAGGTACACTAAATTTGTGTTTTGTTTTATTTTAAAAAATTCAAAAAATATAGGATACCATCCAACATCTGTTACGTAAACGAGACGAGATCTTGAGTGTTGTTAGTGATACAGCTGGGGACAAATGAGATGTGACGTACTAAGATTATAGGAGTAATCGTTGTTATAATTATCGGTTGAAAAACAAAACAAAAAAAAAGTAAATATTAAAGGGAGGTGAAATATGTGAATGGATGGAATAATTTTGGGCTGGAATAAGTGGCTGACAGATGTGTATAATAGTGTATAATAAGGGGGCAAAAAATTAGATCGGGAGAAAAACAGAAGCTATAAAGGAGGCGGTGGGGGGAGGTAGGAGTGGGGGTGGCCTAGTTCCCCTCTTACCCCTTCTACTGCCATCTCTTTTATTTCTAATATCAACTGTCTCCTATATTTATCTCTTCGCGGAGCCTATCCTTTATCATTATCAGATCTTTCTTTTTCTTTCCTTTTTTTTTTTTCAATATATATTATCCAGCCTTATAAGCTTTATTCGTCCTATTACTTATAACTTGCAAATTAGATTTAATTTTTGCCATAAATCGTACTAATAAACAACTCATCCTCTTGTATGATTTTTAATCGTAAACAAATATACGTTGGTTTGAAGCAATATCACATTTTTAGACATTCCAATATTTAAAAAATACATAAACTAATTAAGTCTTACTGGTTTTTGCGAACACGGTATTCCAGGACAGTTTTGAAGCTTAAGCAAAGCTTCAACAATCAGTTGAGAACCTTTATAACATTTTAGATCTAAACATACATCGAGACTGAATTAGTAAAAAAGAAGGAAAGAAATGTGTCACGTAAGAAAAATAAACTATTAAACTTAAAAAGAAAACTTGGGAGTTCTTTGAATTTAATAAAATCACTGTTTCCCAAGTTTAAGAAAAAAGAGTGTAGGCGAAATTGTAAAAAAAAAAAAATTGTTTTTCTTTTTATCTTCTGAGTCTTAATTTTGATTAGCAAGTGCTAATTAACAAAAGTGAAAAAAAGAACACCAAATTAAAAACAAAAATGACGTTTTCTAACAAAGATAAAAATATACAACCTATCTATTTAAATTATTCTTAAGGATATAAGAAAGTAAACAATATGTAACGCTTTCTTATTTTAATCAATCTTTCTTTTAAACTACTTAACTCATTAATTGATTGTGTTATAAAAAATTAAAATAATTTATTAATCCAATATGTTGTAAGAGAACAGTTATAAAACGATAAATCAATTATAAAAGCTTTTATTATTATTTTGCATGTTATCAGATTTTATCAAGTACTTAACTAACAAATGACCTTAGAAATATTTGAACTATGGAGCGAAAAACTTACATAAATTACAGTAATCCATCTTTTTTAATAATTACAATTATAATATATATCGAAACTATAAAAACGTCCATTTTAAAAGGTAATCAAAAATAGATTAATATAAAAAAGTCATAAAAACTACACTTTCACATTGTTACCTGTCTAAAAAACAAAACAGATATAGTAAATTCATTACCAATTTACAATGTGCGTAGAGTTCAATTACTACTTCATTGAAAGCTTTATGACTTGCTATAAAAATAATGCAGCAATAGGAAATGGAAAGTGTGAAAAGACTTGATGCCGATACCGTTAGTAAGGGGTGAAAGGTTCCACGTAACGGTTCCTGAGCCAGTCTCGAATACATTTCTAGTAAAGTAACTGGATTATGTTATAAAACTGATATATCGCTAAATTAACGATTAGTTAAAAAAAAACAATGGTGCAGAGAGAGATTATTTTTGGATGCCAATGACAACTTGGCCATTGTGAACCGGACTCCGTCCTATTTCGGTGACGTTGGAAATAGAAATTCGCTAAAGCTATACCCTATATATCTGTTCGTTTATTCAACCCGTCTTCCAACCTGTTAAAAATAACATAATATTTGAACAATACAATTAGTCAACATTTCAAGGACATTAGTTTATTAAACTAAAAAAAAATCCTTTTAATTATTCACTTTAACACTTTTGACTGCGTTAAACAAAATAATTATCTCAAACTAGGCTAGGTTGACTACATTAAGGTACATTTTCAGAACACGCTGCTTTGTCTTCGGTTGAGCTATCATTATCAAAGCTAGCAAGATATTTAATTGGTGATAATCATGAGAGCGATAGCGCTCAACGGAACTGATGCGATATAATAGAGGAAAGTGAGGCAGGATGGATGCTCTCAGGGCCAGTGGCTGATATGGATGTGACGATTACGGTGATAGTGTCCATGACGTAAACAGAAATCTCAGTAAAAGCCAATTGAGAGTCCGAATAATTAAGGATATCTACGAACAACTTAACTTCAATATGGATAGATAAATAGCAGAGAAGAATCGACGATCATATGTAATCAATCCAAAGAGGTAGGGGAGAACGGATTCAAAATTCAAAAAAGGAATAAGTAATGGCATGATGTGGAAGGGGGGGGGGAGCGATGAAAGTAACGGAGACAGGCCGCCTACACTCTGACCTTTCACAGGCAACTAGGCCGGCATCCACGGTCGCCATGGCAACACCCTCCGCTATTGTTTTCATTCCGACGAGAGTCCCTTCCTCTCAGGGCCAAGATATAGACTATTGATCCACGCTACACTCCACGTGGATCATCAGCTGTTCCAGGGTGGTAAACGCATACCTGGCACGCCCTACGCAACTTTCTTCTATGCGCCACCGGACGGAACAACCGGGGTGCATCCAGGTAGCAACAACCCCTACACTTAATCCCGAACAAACCTAAGCCGAATAACATATCAACGGAAGCCGTTTTATGTAACGGTAATCCAAAGAAAGTCCCTTGAAAGGATTTTGAGAACAAGAACTGTTGAAATGTAATATGTATTTTTAAAATGGAAAATGTTCCTTTCTAAAATGTATCGACTCACATGTCACAATCACTTGACAAATTACTGACACAGAACATTCATGTCAATAAATAAATCAGGTAGGACGTAACACATCTATTTAACAAGTATATTGCTTTAAAAGAAAGTAAGGTCATGTTTCCGATATCAAAAAATTGAACGGTCACAAGGAGCTTAAAAAGAAAAAAACTGATTTTAGTTTTAAGTGGGTTTGTATTCAAGGGTTCAGCAACCTCAAATTCTTTAAGGTTTAATAGATCAACTCGAATCCTTGTAATTTTTCAAAGCGTTAA